GCTGCCCACATACACCAGGGCTGGTTGGTTTGAACCCGGCCTGGGCCTGCTGAACAATGACAACTGCAACAAAAAAAAAAGCTGGGTATTGTGGTGGGCACCTGTAGTCCCAGCTACTTGGGAGGCAGAGGCAAGAGAATTGCTTAAGCCCAAAAGTTTGAGGTTGCCGTGAGCTATGATGCCACAGCACTGTACTGAGGGCAACATATATAGTGAGACTCTATCTCAAAAAAAAAAAAAAAAGAAAAGAAAAAGAATAAATTAATTAATTAATTAATTCTAAAATTAAATGGCATTTTTGGCTGGGTGAGGTGGCTCACGCCTGTAATCCTAGCACTTGGGAGGCTGAGGCAGGTGGATTGCCTGAGCTCTGGAGTTCGAGACAAGCCTGAGCAAAAGTGAGACCCTGTCTCTAACAATAGCCAGGCATTGTGGTGGGTGCCTATAGTACCAGCTACTTGGGAGGCTGAGGCAAGAGAATCACTTGAGCCCAAGTATTTGAGGTTGCTGTGAGCTGTGATGCCATAGCGCTCTATCGAGGGCAACAAAGTGAGACTTAGTCTCAAAAATAAAAATAAATGGTATTCTTCTTTTTTGAGATAGAGCCCCATTCTTTTGCCCTAGGTAGAGTGCTATGGCATGATCATAGTTCACAGCAATCTCAAACCATTAGGCTCAAGTGATCCTCCTGCCTTAGCCTCCCAAGTAGCTGGGACTATAGGTGGATGCCTGGCTAATTTAGTAGAGATAGAGTCTTGCTCTTGCCCAGTCTGGTCTCAAACTCCTGAACTCAAGGGATCGTCCCACCTCAGCCTTTTTCACAGTGCTAAGATTACACGTATGAGCCACCATGCCCGGCAAAAATTTTAAAATTAAATAGTATTCTGTTGAGGTTGTGATAGAAAATATGGATAGGTTTTCCTTAAGATGACTTTTTTGAGCAAAGTTTGTTTTCTTTTTAATGGAAAGTGAGATTCAGGGGATAACTAACCAGTCCTTAGTCAGATTTTACCTGAGTGTTCAGTATATTCCTAAAGAAGGCCGAGGTCGGCTCTGCGCCTATAGCTCAACCCGCTAAGGCGCCAGCCACGTACACCTAAGGTGGCGAGTTCGAATCCCCAGCCCGGACCCGCCAAACAAAATAAAATGCTACAAGACCTAGAAAAACAAAC